GTGGTTGCTTCATGGACCACCAGGTGCCCTGGCAGGCAAAGTGCTGGGCCTCTGGGACCAGAGTGAAAGAAGGCAGCCACAGTCCTCAGTCCTTTGTTCTACTCTCATGCCTGATTATATTGGTTAGCATTAGGTTCAGTTGAGCAACAGAAAACGCCAAACAAGAGTGACTTAGTAAGGAAGTACTCAAAGAATGATGTCAAAAGAACATAGAAGCCAGCTTAAAGAGGCTCCTACTGGCCAAATCTGTGCATCAAAGTAAGTAATGATAGTAATATAGATTACAACCCATTGACTAAAATAAGAATCCATGAGTCCATATTTATAGAAAGAAGGAAAGAAAGAAAGAAAGAAAGCCCCTCCTTACATTTGTATGTCAACCAATAAACATTGAAAGAAACGTGGAATTAGCAAATCACCATTTAGCAACTGGCATAATAATAATTCACTCAGGCAAGAAGCACCAATGGATGCTAAAGCTGCTGGGTAAAAGTTTGATGATAAACAGGATATTTATATAGTCTCAAAGTATCTCTCCATAAGATATTTCTGAATTACAAAGGGAAAATGGTCATTTCACAGTAAAGAAAGTTGGCTGACATGCTATTCACCGAATGATGGAGCTACCATCACCAGCAATGGGACAATCAACATCGTGTGCCTCCTTATACCCTGACAGAGACTCACACCGTTGCTGTGGTGTTCCTGCCAAGATAATAACAATAACAATAGGACAACAACATCAGTGACATAAACAAGATCAAATTTTACGTCTCTCACCTAAAAGTCCAGGGCTCATGCAGTGCCACACATTATGAGCTTTCCAGTTTCCTTCCCTCTTGTTTCTCCACCATGTGTGGCCTTGACCTCACAGCCCAAGATGGCACCATTCACGTTCAAGGTAACAGGATGGAGTAAAGGAGGAAGAATAAAAGGCAAGGAGTCCATGTGTACCACACCTTAGGGAAGGTTTCCAGAAGCTGGCACAGAACAGTCTGCTTACATCCCTTTGGTCAGAACTCACTCGCTTGGTCGCACCTAGCTGCTGGGAAGTGTGGTCTCTGTTTTGGATGGCCATATGCTCAGCTAAAAAATTCTATTACTATGAACGAGATAAAGGGTATAACCTATATGGGAGGACACCTAACAATCTCTGGAACACTGCTATTCTTTCGTTTCAAAACGGCACATTTCTATACCTCCAGTTCTTTTCCCTAGGATCTCAAATCATGGCACCCTCTCCATCCCAAACACTTACTGCAGACACAACACGCCCGTGTGTGCGCCCAGACGTGGAGGGAGCTCAGAGCCCACATCCTTCAGACCTTGATCCCCAAAGATGCTCTGGCCTATTCCGCTTCTGGGACTGTGCGCAGCTTTACGTCTCAACATCATTACTTAGGAGGAGGGCAGTTACCCACGGAAACGCCCCCATGGCCTCTATGCTCACATTGAAGCTGATTTAAGCTGAGATGAACAGAATGACCAACCTTTGTTCCTTTCCTTTCTAGATAAGCAAATTAAAATGCCTCTGGTAAACAAACATTTCTCCTGACCTTAGGTTTGTGGATCTAAAACAAAGAGCCAGTTATTTTACCAGCAGAATGAGTTTACTCAGGAATGGCAAAGAATTGTAATTTGGGATATGCAGTCTATGGGAACCACAGGGAAGCCAAAAGAAACAAAGCAGAAAAACGTTCTTTTACGAAGTTAGGAGGGGGTGTTGTAAAGGAAGAGCCCACTGGAGGAGAGGGGGGCGTTTGAAGTACAGTGGCTTTTCATTGGCTGAGTTATAGCTGTCTCTCATTGGCTGAGCTGTTGCTGGGCAACAAGGAATTTCTTCCTCCCTTCTGCTGGAGGAGTATCACTCCCCGGCAGAAATGCAAGGTACCGTCTCTTCCTGTCAGGGTCAGTAGCCTGCACTGAGTGACCCGTGCATGGGTGAAAGTGCTCTCTTCTGGCCTCCTGGCTCCATTTTAAGTGAGGATTCTGTTTATTAATTTTCACAGGCTTTTACAGAGCTCTAGGAAGAAGAGTAGGTTTGGGGCTTTTGAGATTAGTGTGGGGTCGCAAGATGTGCAGGACTTCCCAGCGTTCCAGGTGGAGCCCGAGGACCGCCACTTGCCAAGAGTGCACAAGGACAAGATAGGTCTGCACTTGCCGGGCAAGAAGGGCTGCAGTGACAGCTCACGTCTCCTCACCAGCTTTCTCCTCCCCTGCTCCACTCCACCCGCCGCCTCCAGCTCCACCACTGCAAGGATGAGGGGTGCTGCAGTCTTGGGGTGCGAGGAGATTGGGAAGTTCCTATGCTTTTGGAGCCTATAAGTCTTTGTGGAAGCCCCTCTCCAAGTCTCGTTTGGCCAGGGGTGTTGCTTGATTCCCATAATGTGGTAGGGGTGGTGGGGTGGGCAGAGGGGGACTACACAGATAGTGAAGTCTCCTGAGAGCCTGCAACCAAGAGCCACATTCTTATTTGTGTCATTTCAGGACCTCAGGGGCCACAACTGTGAAGTAGCGATGGTCCTTGTATGCTTAGCCACAACACGCAAGGTGTTCCCTCTGCTGGGAAGAGCTGGCCCTTCTCCTCTTTGTTAGACGTTAGTGAACGGCTCACTCTCAAAACACAGCTCAAAGGTTAGTGCCCTGAAGCCTTCCTGGAATGGCCCCAGGCCCAGCTCCACATCTTTCTGGTTCGCTATGAGATGAGTGTGGGCTGCAGGTTAACCTCTTAGGCTCTTGAGCTAGACTGCCTGGATCTAGAAGCCTGGTTCAGCTACTTTGTAGCTGTGTGACTTTGACAAGTATTTTAACCTCTCTGCCTCAGTTTCCCTGCCTGTAAAATGAGGATTAAAAATAATACCTTCCGGGGCCAGCCCTCTGGCCTAGTGGTCAAGTTCCTGCATTGTGCTTAGGCGGCCCAGGGTTTCACTGGCCCAGATCCCGGGCACGGACATGGCACCGCTCATTAGGCCATGCTGAGGGGGCGTCCCACATAGCACAACCAGAAGGACCTACAACTAGAATACACAACTATGTACTGGGGGGCTTTGGGGAGAAGAAGAAGAAGAGAAAGAAGAAGACTGGCAACAGATGTTAGCTCAGGTGCCGATCTTCAAAAGGAAAAAAATGCCCAAGAAGACACTGTGTAGGGTCTACAATTTTTTTAAAAAATTAAGTAAAAATAATACCTTCCACATGAACCTGTTGTGAGAATTAAATGAGTTTTACATGTTTTTAAAAGTGGCTGACCTCATAGCAGCATTATTCTCAATAGCCAAAAGGTGGAAACAATCTAAACGTCCATGGATGGATGAACAGATAAACAAAATGTGGTGCATACATACGAGGGACTATTATCCAGCCTTAAAAAGGAAGGAAGTTCTGACCCGTGCTACAACATGGACGAACCTTGAGGACTTTATGCTAAGGGAAATAAACCAGTCACAAAAAGACAAATACTGTGTGGTTCCCCTCATATGAGGTACCCAGAGCAGTCAAATTCATAGAGACAGAAAGAATGGTGGTTGCCAGGGGCTGGGGGAGAGAGGAATGGGGAGTTGCTTTTTGATGGGTGCAGAGTTTCAGTTTGGGAAGTTGAAAAGTGTCTTGTGGACAGATGGTGGTGAGGGTTGCACAACAGTGTGCTTGTACTTCATGCCGCTGAACTGTTCACTTGAAATGGTTAAGAGGGTAAATTTTATTTATGTATATTTTACCACAATTTAAAAAATTAAAAAAAATTTTTAAGAGGCTAGCATTTAATTGATGTTAATGTTAGCACATGATCTGTGTGTTTCTTGTCTATTCCTCTCCTCCAGGGAGGGCACTGAAGAGTTCAACCCTGGTATGGTGAGCACCCTGAAAAGAGCAGGGGGTGCCGAATCTGCAGAACTCATGCAGACGATCCTGCAGGGTCAGACGGCATTGTGGGAGGAGGCGGGCGTGGGACAAGGCAGGGAAGAGCCTACTACGCCCAAGGAGAGGTGGCAAGGCGCAAAACTTGCCCCAGGAGGAGCCTAATGAGACAGAGTTCACAGCACTGGGAGGGCCCAAGGAGAGCCAGGAGCTCCCTCCTCCTCAGGGCTTGTGGAGGGGTGCCTGCAACCAGCCTGCTGGACACACCTTCTCTTAAGCTTCCCGCACCGGTTTCACAGGGAGGGGTGGGGGACAGAGACAACTAGAAATGGCGCTGGGAGAGAGGAGAAACTGAGTCACTGACTTCTAAGAATAGGCCGTCACCCAGCTCCCAGCAGACCCCACCCAGGAACACGCGAAAGAAGCCTGAGGCATTAGGGTGGGTGCAGAGGGAGCCCCCTGGTGTCCAGCTGGGTCCCGGCAGGGCCTGCTGGGCCATGCTCAGTTGGTCACGCACATGCTCTGCCTGGGGATGAGGGTGCTGCCTCCAGGCCAGGGGAGCTTATACTGGGGGGAGGACTCATCCACCAGAAGGCTCACGCACTGACCAGTCGTCTCCTGCTTTCTTGTGCCTGCTGAGCCCAGGGCTCTCCGGAAGCTGCGGTGGAGAACGGAACGGAGGAAGCAGAGGGCTCCAGACCACCAGCTTCGGAGTAAAGGATCAAAGGCTGGGGTCGGCTCTGCTTGACGCAAAAAGAATGTGGCAGAGGCTGGCGGCTGGCTAACCCATCCCCTGCCGCCGTACTTCTCCCCAGCCCGCCTCCACCATAGAGATTAGAAAAGCAGTATGCTTCCTTTCCCAGCCTACCTTGCAGCTAGTGGAGGGCCACATGACACAAGTGGAGTCTGCTAGAATCCTTCTGCAGTGGCTTTTGCTTTCCTCATAAAAGGGCCAGAGACTACCGATGAAGTCTCCTTTTCCTCCATTTCCCTGCCTTGAACCTAGGAATGATGCCTGGAGCTATAGCAGCCATCTTGTAACCATGAGGAAAGGCAAAGTTAATCACAGAGATGCCAGCTCTATTACCATTGAGTCACGGAACCAATATGTCACATCATTATATGAGAAGTCAAAGAGAAATTGGTGAAGCCACCATAGTTGGGTTTTATACTGTTTGCACTCCCAATAAAGCAGGAGAGCTACCCCATCACCTCAGGGAGGTCACAGTTTAGTAAATTACTACACAAAAGGAGTCTTGCCCCAAACGGCCACCTCCCCTGCCCCCAAACAGAAGGTTCCTTTCTCCAGCTACAAAGGGGCTTTCTTCTCTAAGGACCCCTTTCCCCCAGGCTCGACAGCATATCACAGGTTCTGCCCACTGGTTAGGGTACGCAAATGTTTCATTACAGCGTGTGGAGAGTACAAGCTATCTGCGGGTGGACACACGGCAGGTGCTTAGCACAGTCACTCAGTAATGAGCCGGGCAGGCTTCACAAGCCCCCATGGACCTCCCCCACACCCTTGCCCACCCTCTTCCCCAAGGCAGCCAGCCAGCAGCTCTGCATGCTGAGCTGCCCTAGGAGCGAGGCCCCCGGGTTGCATGCTCTGTGTCTTTTGCCTGTGTTTAGGCCAGATCGCACTCTACGGGAGGTCCTGAGCTGTAAGAAGGGACACATTTGTAGCTCCCTCTCCTTAGCAATCTCCTCTCCTGGACATTGCCTGTCTTCCCCTTGCAGGAACCATCCCCTTTTTAAATGCCTCAAAACATCTGAGTTGCCAGGGTCCATTTTCCCTCCTCGTGGCAGCCCCTCACCCTCCCTGTTCCTAGATACGGGTTTGCAGAGTCTTCACGTCTGCTGGGCACCCCACCTGCCTCTGCCTGGTGATCATCCCGACATAAGCGTTTCTAAAGCCTACTCATATATGACGTGTCTCCAGACAAGTCCAGAGAGGGTCAGACAGAGACACGTTTCGGGAGTAGCTGGGGTCTGTAAGTCCCCTGGAGTGGAGTGTGACCTGGGAAGTGAGCTCTGCTGATAGGACTGCCATTGCTGACCAAGCCCGTGCTAGGGGAGACCCAAGGCGAAGAGGGGCTTCCGTGCCCCTCCAAGCCTGTGGGGACACCTAATGGCTTGGAGGGCACACTGGACCAGACGTCGGGAAACCTGCTTCTCCAACTCTGTCACCAGGTTGCTGTATGTCTTTGGGCAAGTCACTTACCCTCTCTGGACCTCAGCTTTCTGGGCTATAGAACAAAGGAATTGGACAAGGTCATTTCAAAGGGCTGTTCCAGCTCTCCTTTGGGGAAGTAATGTCAATCGTCATTTGTGCAAAGCCTTTTACTTTTCAAAGTGCTTTCACATCAATGATGTCCTGCTTCTAGAGTTTTCTTGCAGATTATTTGATTAGGTCCCATTTCCCTGACTTCACAGAAAGGAAATAGGAGGCCCAGAGAAGGGAAAAGACACTCAAGGTCACCCAGCCAATTAGCGGCAGGGCTGGGACTAGAATCCAGGTCTCCTGACTCTCATCGGGGCTGCTGTGTCCAGCTCTGCTGGGTGCACCCCACACATAGGTACAGGTTTGAGGGGAAGGGAGGCTGAAAGGTGCTCAGGGGTGGGACCAAGCCAGCCTTAAGGAAAGGGCACCTTTCTCTAATTGGTCTGCCAGAAGGGCCGCCTTGTTCTCATCGTCCATCCAGAGGAAGAAGGAATACTTTTTCAATTAATCAGCGCAGAGGGCGCCTTTCTGCAGTTTGTCCATCTGTAGGAATGATTTTCCTAGTCCACACAAGGCACCTGATGTTCTAGCAACAGCCTGACTCCCAGACTGTGCCTCTTCCCCCTTGGGGCTGGATGACCAGGGCTGGCATCGGGCCGCCAGATGAAATACAGGACACCCAGTTAAATCTGAATTTCAGATAAACAATTAATACGCGTTTTGGATAAAAATGTCTTGTGCCATTTTGGGGACACACAGCCTAGAAGAAATTTATTTTGGTCATCTGAAGTTCAATTAACTGGGCATCCTGTATTTTTATTTGCTAAATCTGCCAACCCTAGTCTGGAGGCAGTGGTGTGCTCAGGCTGGCTTGTATCAGTTCATGAGGGCCAATGGTTAATTTTTTAGGAATTTTGTGGTCCAGATATTAAACCACTGGCGCTTGAAAGCAATCACGGTGGGAGCATTCACACCATGGAAATAGGCAACGCCACAAATCATCCATCCATCCGCTGTTTTTTTTTTGCTTTGCTTTTTTTAGAGCTGATTGTGAAACGTTTACCAATACGCCACTGTCTAGAGGTTTCCTTGTCTTAAACGTACTGGGTGAAGACTCTGAAACTATGTGACCAGGTGCACTACCATCGCACGGGAGTCAGATAGCATCTGAGGGTAGCTGTCAGACTTAGTATATTAGAAAACGGAAAATTCCACTCGTGTGATCCTAGAAATAGGTATGTTGGAAACTTAGGATTCTAAAACGAGGATGTTAAAATCTCAAGATTTCAGAAGATGGACTATTAGTGTTGATAGCAGGGGCTGTTACACACTACCCATTCCTAACCCCTCTCTAGAGTGTAGATGGGCCGAGGCCTGAGCCTGGCCCCATCCCTGGCTGGCCCTCCTGGCTCAGGGCCCACGCCGCTTGCGGGCCACGATGAAACAGAGCCCTGTGTTGGCAGCAAGGCTGACCGTGTAGCTCCTGGGGCTGTGCAGGAGCTGCTCGATGTCAAAGCCGGCGTCCAGGACAGCCTGCTCCACCTCCTCCTTCTCCAGGGGCACGCAGGAGAACTGGCGCTTCCCCACCATGTAGGACTTGAGCCGCAGCGTGACGACAGTCACCAGGTGGCCACCCGGCTTGAGCAGTGAGGCAAGGTTGCGCAGCGCGGCGCGGTAGGCGTCCAGGCTGCAGCAGGCACACTCCATGGCCAGCAGCGTGAGCACACAGTCGGCCGGGGGCAGTACAACCGGGGCCAGCGGGTTGCCCAGGTTGGCATCGCACTTGAGCACCCGCTTTACCACAGCCCGCAGCTTCTCCTCCTTCTCCCACCACCGGTCGCTGAGGAGAGAGGGCAGGGCTCGGGGGAGGTGCATCAAGGTCCCGAAGGGAACTCCCACCCCACTGGGACCAGCAGATGGTCAAAGGATTGCTGCCCCAGCTCCCCCAGTAGGAAAACGGTCAGGGGAATGGGACCAGATCAATTGAGGGGCCTTCTTCTCTCTGATTCCATCTGGGTCCGCTCCCTGGGACCCCCCCCAAGAGATGGATTGAGCCCCAAGCATGGATTGAGCTTTCACTAAATGTTATTGGATAGACGGATGAATTAATGAATTAGCAACAGATAATGCATGGATGTGGCTATCTTAAAAATATAATATTGAGTGATGAAAAGCAAATCCTAGAAGAAAATATAGAGGAAATTACTCTGTTATAAAGTTCATAGATGACTAGAACTAAACAATAGGCTGCTTAGACATACATAAATATGTGACAAAAGTTATTTTTAAAAAGGAAGGAAATGTGAAATATAAAATTCATATGAGTGATTACCTTCAGTGGGGAAGGTAGGGGGCAAGAGGAGAAGCACCTGTAAGTCCTCATTGCATCTGAATACTCAGGCTGGGTGGGGGGTTCATGCCACTACGTGTAATATTCTCACAACAGGTATAGACAATAGAGGGAAGAAGGAAAAATGATAGATGATAGAGAGGTAGAAAGATAGATAGACAGACAGAAAGATGATCAATAGATAGAGGCAGACAGGCAAGAAGGAAGGAAGGAGGGAAAGATGGAAGGAAGGAAGGAAGGAAATGCCCTCCATCTGCTCTTCAGTGGTCATTCCTGGCTGGATCCCATCTCAATACAGTCCTATAATCAGAAACTTGCCCCAAATGAGCTGTAATCCTGAAACTCAAGGGCCCATCTACTATCCTACCCAAAGCATCTGGTCCCATCCTTGAGGGACCTACTGTCCTGAAAATGTCAGGGACAACAGAGAGGGCAGAGAGCCCTCTGAGGGGAGCCACTGATGTCCAGCCCCCAGGGAACACCCTCCCCCACCCCTGAGCCCTACCTGTTCCCTTCTAGCTCACAGGCGAATCTCACAGCCGGGGTCCAGTCGTAGGCCCCAGGCTCCTTCTTCAGCCACTTTTCCAGCTCCTCCCGGTTGCGGTCAGTGAAGTCGGAGAGAGTGATGTCTTTGAAGGACTCACAGGCGGCAAGCACTTGGTAGATGGTAGGGCCTGAGCCGATGTCGATCAGCGTGTCCCCTTGGAGGCCCCCTGACAGAGGGAGAGAGGTCACTGAGACTGATAAGGGGCAGATGAAAGAACTGAGACCTGAGACCAACAAACACCCTGGTCCAGCCCACAGGGGATGCAGCGCCAACCATGACCATTATCATGGATACACCAAGCACCGTGCTAAAGGCTGTATATGCATTAATTTCCGTGTACACTTCAGAACTACCCCATGCAGAAACTGCTACTTTTATTTCCATTTTAAAGATTAGAAAATTGTGTCTCAGAAAGGATAAACAATTAGCGCAATGTCTTTCAGCCAAGAGTGTAACCACTACCCTCCTGGACAGAGAACATGGGTCCCAAACCCTGCTCTGAAGAAGATTCTGTTCAGGCTGCCTGGGAGCCTCCATGGGTGTCCAGCCCTGTCTAGCTAGCTTCCTCTGGGGAGGGCGGGCAGGAACAGGAAGCCGGGCTTGCCAAGGAGCTGACCTGGGAAGATGGCCCAGGAGTGCGTTGAGGTTACCTGGAAGCTGAAATGAAGCGTGATTTCCAGCATTCTGCCTGGAGGACGGGCCTGTGGGGTCACAGCTGCCAGGTTGTTCTCTGATCCCTGCCTCCCCAACCCGCCCAATCCTCCAGGCTCAGCAGCCCTTAACCCCCTCCTGTCCTCCTCACCAAGGGACTCCCCAGTTTCCTATCCCTTCCCCCAGTGCAGCAGCCAGAGTGAGGACACTGCCACAAGAGCCAGGAAGGACATGACCAGCTCACTGTGTCACCAGGGGGAGAGTAGTTATCATTGGGAGGTAGGCCATTTACAGACGGCTCAGTTGAGTCCCTTGGAGACTGAGGGCCCTGCCAGCAGGTGTGTGACAGGACTGAGACCTCACCCAGCTCTCTCAACTCCCCGAGTAGGGCTTTTCCAGACTCTCGTGACAGCCACATCCCACTATCCCACTGTTTGCCCTTGGCCTTCTTGGGGTCTCTGAGGCCTGACTGTGCAGGAGCTAGGCTGGGCTTGACGACCTTGAGAGCCTTCCCTGCCCCACCCCAAAGATCTAGGGGCTAACGGAGAGCGTTTGGGAACTACAAGATCCTCTACTCTCCCCACCAGATTTCCTGGTCCCTACTCCCTGTGAGGAGACAGACCCCACCTCCTGCCTCACATCTGATCAAAGAGAGCGGCAGGGCCCACCAGCTCCCCACCTCAACCCCCACACCCTGTAGCCCCTAGACAGGACCAGGCTTCCACCCCGGTGGGCCACGCCAGGCACCTTCCCTTATTCCCTCTCCAGGGTCCCTGGAGAGCGGCTCAAGGGGCTGCAGGAATGAGGTTCCCCCTCTGCTCACCTGGGCCGAAGGTCTTGTGGAGACACTCCAGATTAAACTTGAGCATCTCAGCCTCGGGGACGGGACCACTGTCGAAGCTGTAGAAGGTGGCCAGGTAGTCCCTGGGCAGGAAGTGTTTCTGGTACTCATCGCCCCCGGTGAAGCTGCCCTCCATGGTGGCCCTGAGTGTGTGCCGTCCTGTCTGCCCAGGTCTTATGAGGGCTCGGGATGCTCCTGGCCCCGCCCCCAGAATTTTGTCCCATCCCCTCACTCCTCCCATGCTGGCCTCTGCTTGAGCTGCCCTTCTGGAGAGATGCCCATGGACCCTCCCTCCGCCCAGCACACCAACAAACCTCAGCTGAAACTGCTCTAAACCCAGAGCCCTGACAGCTGAGGCTGCAGCCGCCCTGGTCCTGCTTCCTCGAGGGATGGACCCAGGTCCATCGATGGTGCCCAGTCCTGGGTCCTCCTCTCAGCTCCGCCAGCCACGTGCTGCTATGTGACCTTGGGCAGGTGTCAAACCTCAGTTTCCCCATGAGCATACTCATTTCACAGGCTGTAAGAACCAAAGTCACTCCCCTAAGTCACAGATATCATGAGCCTGAGGGCACAGTGAGGTCCCCATCAGTCCCCTGGTGGTCAGAGGGGCCCAGTGGCTCTCCCCAGGCCAGGCAGTGGGCATCCCAGCCCTTCTGGAGGACATTGTTCAGACCCCAGGGGGCAGAACAGGATGGCTGACTGCATCACCACGCAGGCCACTGTGTGATCAGAAATTAGCCACCACCCTCCACGAATGGGACAAGGGAGCCCCGTCATGAAGCATAGCCTGTCAGAGGAGTCGGGGCTTCTTGGCTGCTGACTCGCCATGTGACCCCAGGTAAGTCACCCCCCTGGCCTCAGTCTTCCTCCTTTTAAAGGGGGAATGGGTTATAAAACCTCCCACAGACAGGAAAAGCTTGGCCTCCTTTCCTTTCCAGGAAAGAGCTCTGACTTGGCCACAAACCAGACAGAAATGGATCTGCTGCCCTTGGGGTCTGGGCCTGCTGCCCTGGAAGTGAGAAGGACAAGAACGACTTGTTCTGGCTTTAAGTAAATAAACAATGCTGACCCTGTAGGGCCTGACAAACTGAGGCTTCCACAGAGGCAGGAAAACCCAGTGGTCATTCAGGGCCTGATTTCCAAGGGGTGGGTACACGGTCAGCCTCCAGGGAGGCCTGGGGCCATGGTCCCAGCCCACAGAAGGCACTCAGAGCAGGCAGGGAGCTGGAGCTCTCACGTTATGTAATTTGAGTGTTTAATAAAGAGACAGCATTAGCAAAGGTTTGGGCAGGGTTGAGGGAAGCCACAAAGGACCTGTTACTCAGGGCTCTCCAAAGAAACAGACCAAAAGCGTGTGTGTGTGTGTGTGTGTGTGTGCGTGTGTGTGTGTGTATGTATGAATGTAAAGAGGCTTATTTTAAGAAACTGGCTCACACAATTATGAAGGCAGCAAGTCCAAATCTGCAGGGTGCACCCAAAATCTGTTGGAGACCCAGGAAGACGGGAAGCTGCTCTTCTGATCTGAAGGCTGTCAGGCGAGAAGCAGAAAGAGCCAACTCAAGAGCCAGTGCAAGTCCAAAGGCCATCTGCTGGCAGAATCCCCTCTTGTTTAGGCGAAGGCCGTCTTTGTTCTGTTCGGGATTTCAACTGATCGGATGAGGCCCACCCACATTATGGAGGGCAATTTGCTTTACTGAATGTCCACCAAGTTAAATGTTAATCACATCCAAAACTTCACAGAAACATCCAGGATAATGATTGACCACATATCTGGGCACCATGGCCCAGCTAAATTGACACAGAAAATTAACCATCACCATACTCCAGGGCTAGTGGCAGGGACCATTATCTGCCCTAGACCCAAGACAGAGAGCTGTGTGGAGAAGGCCACCTGCAGCAGCCAACAGCAAAGGAGCTGAAGAATAAATACCCAGACTCACTCTCCTCCCTCCCTCCTATATCCTGCCAAACCCGCTGAAATGCGGAAAACAATGGAACCGCTAATACAGTCCACATAGGTCAGCCTCTGGGGGCCCACAAGGACCTGAGAAGGATGGAGAGTGGATACTGAGGGACACATGGAAGGTGCCCCGCACAGAATCCCATTAACATTTATAGAATTGAACTGTGGACAACTATGTACCATCCAGGGGAGACCCAGAGCCCCTCCAGGGGGATGTGGGCATCCAGGGGTCTGCCCAAGCCGGGTGGGGGGATCATTCTCCCTGGAACCGTTCACTCTGCGGCAATTGGACATCTTTGGATGAGCTGAGGAGGCCCCTCCAACTCAGAGCCCCCAGTGCCTCCTGCTACCCAGGGGAATGAATCCACAACCCCCGGCATAGCCTCTTGCCTCACACACCTCTCCACCAGTTCCACCTTCTCCACCCCAGGGCACATCCTGACTGTGGCCTGGCCAGGGGTCTTTGCAGCACCAGGGTAATCTGCTCAAAGTCAAGTCTTGTATGGATAGATTCTAAGGAAAGGTTTCTCAACCTCAGCACCACTGACATTTCAGGCCAGATAACTGTCTATTGGGATGGGGGGCAGAACCGTGCATGGAAGGATAACTAGCCGCATCCCTGGCCTCTACCCAGTGGATGCCAGTAGCACCCAGTTCCCAGTGGTGACAACCTACAGTGTCTCCAGACATAGCCAGATGTCCCCTGGGGGGCAAAGCTTCCCCCAGTTGAAAGCCACAGTCCTGAGGTTTGCCTTCACCCAGTTGACAACATTTTGTTCATGCCAGGGCGGTTTCAGTCCCTTTTAAGAATGTCTGCATCATCTTAAGCATCTTTCCCTACTCTGACTTTTAAATAGCTCAAGGAAGTTTCCATTCCAGGGGACTTCCGCCTAATTTCAAGCAAATGAGTAAATGTCAAGCTACCTATAAAGAAAATAAGGCCACTTGCGAGCAGACCAGATAAAGAAACGGTGAATCTCCTTATCAAGATAGGAAAACTACCATCAGCACCCCACGCTCTCTGATGCCCCTGTTATCTTGCTTCTGCCTGACCCTGTGGAGTGAAGGACGAGTCCAGAGAACAAGAGAGGAGCTTGCCCATGTCAACACGACTTCTCTCTGATAAGCCACGAGCAGCCACGCAGAGCCTCGTCTCACGCCAAACACCAAAATAAAGGCTACACAACTTATAACAATCAGTCACAGAAGCTATCATAATTGAATAGCTATCAAACCTCTGCATAGGGAAGGATTTCGGAAGCCTAGACAGAAGAAAGCCCAAAGGAAAAAAAATAGCACACTTTATTAAAGAAAAATTAAACAATTTGTTTATCCTGAAAAAAATTAAACGGCAAAAAAACACTGTTTTCCTTTTGGAAAAATAATTTGGCAATTATTTGCCTAAATTATTTGCCTAAATAATTTGTACTAAACGTTTTAAAACCTTGACCCAGTAATCTCACACCTGGGAATCCAGCCTAAAGCCAGAATCCAAAATACGGAAAAAGCTTAATGTGCGAGGCTATTGATTACAAGGTTATTTACAACGATGAAAATTTGCAGGTCTTACCTGTGAGCCACTAGGGAAGCAGTTAAGTCAATCTTACCTAAACCTCTCTGTGTGCTATTTACGAGGCAGCACTAAAAACTGACATTTCCAGAGGCTTTATGGTGACTTGGAGAATGATGCTGACCCAGCACTGGGGGAACCAGCAGGTGCAGATGGGCACACACAGCACAATTACAGCCCTGCAAAGACATTTCAGACGCAAGTGTCCAGAGGCAAATTGCTATATAAGAAACCCTGGGGGCCAGCCCTGTAGCCTAGTGGTTAAATTCGGTGCTCAACTTCAGCAGCCCAGGTTTGGATCCCAGGTGCAGACCTATACTACTTGTCAGTGGCCATGCTGTGGCAGTGACCCATATACAAAATAAAGGAAGATTGGCACAGATATTAGCTCAGGGACAACCTTCCTCAAGCAAAAAGAGGAAGATTGGCAACAGATGTTAGCTCAGAGCTAATCTTCCTCACCAAAAAAAAAAAGATAGAGGAAGATTGGCATAGATGTCAGCTCAGGGTGAACCTTCCTCAGCAAAAGAAAAAAAAAGAAAGAAATCCTGCGACAAATATGACACACTCAATGTCACCAGTCATTTTAATCCACCTAGCATGTATGTCAATTGGATGTTAAGATGAAATTCTTTTTTAATAAATTGGATAGAGGTCTAACTTTATTTTCTTCCAACTGGATAGGCAGATGTGCTATCACCATTTATTATTTAACAGCCCCTTTTCTCAGTGCATGGATAGTACAGCTTCTATTCATTTCAGAAAAGGGGGAAATTTACATTTAACACAATAAAATTAAAGTTTATATTCTGTTGAAATCCAAAACCCTGAAAAATAAATGTTGACTGTCTTTGATTCTGGGTGGTGGGACTGAGGGGCTTTACTGCTCAGAGTGTGGTGGCCTCAGTGTCACCGGGGATCTGTTAGAAACGCAGAATCTCAGAACCAGAATCTGCTTTCTCAGTGAGTGGGACAGCATAGTGCGACGGGTGGCGAATAAGGTTTGCAGTCGGTCTTTATTTTGGCTTTGGACACAGGCCTTGAATTGGAACCTAGACGCCACCACTTGCTGGCAGGGCCACTGTGGAAAAGGCACGTCACCTTCAGCTTCCTCATCTCCCCGGGGGGGCGGGGTGTCAATGTCGACTTTGCAGGTTGTTATGAAGATGGTAGAGGACGGGGGATGCCTGGCACACAGTAGGTGCTCTGTAGGCGTTAGGGACCTTTCTAGGTATCCTCTGTGGTCCTGCTCCTTCAACATCCATGGGAGGGCCAGCCCACTACAGGCCCAGGCTTGCCCATCTGCAAAATATGCTTGAGTTTGCTGCCTGGACTCTCTGCTCTCAGGTGAACATTTGAAAGAGATTTGGCAATGCTTTTTTGAATATAAAACTTTTTATTTCGAGATCATTGTAGATTCACATGCAGTTGTAGGAAATAATACAGAGAGATCCACGTCCCCTTTACCTAGTTTCCCCCACGATAACATCTTTCAAAGCAAAAGTAAATATCACAACCAGGATGCTGACATTGACCCAATCTGCTGCTCTAATTCAGCTTTCCCAGCATCACTGTACTTGTGTGTGCGTGCATGGGCGTGCATGTAAGTTGTGTGCAATTTTATTACATATTCTGTTT